CTCAAAAAATCTCAATGAGTCTCAAAAAGTCTCAATAACTCTCAAAAAGTCTCAAAAAGTCTCAGAAAGTCTCAATAAGTCTCAGAACGGTGAATTTACGGCCGAATACGGCCGTGCACGACCGCCGTATTACGCCGTATACGGCTGTTTCTGGCTACTGTAATGCTCGTTCTGGGCACTGTATACGGCCACCGTATACGGCGATTTACGGTCTTATACGGCCGTATACGGCATTGTTACGGTCGTGAAGGGTAGCGTATACGGTCTTATGTATCGTCCTTGGGGCCGTGTCTAGTTATGAATACGATCGTACACGACCGCCGTATTACGCTGTATACGACACGGCGAAATACGGTCGTAATACGGTACATGGAAATACGGCGCAGTTACGGCCGTTTCTCGTCACCGTAATGCTCGACCTGGGTAATCATCAATCTATGAAGGTTTCACTGCAAGATAGGTGATAGAATAATTGTTATTCTGATATTCAGTCCTCGTTCTATATGCATCTGATTATCCATCGATTATTTTAAACAAATGATAGAGATATTGAAAAGTCTTTCTACTTACATTCTACTTCTCTTACTTTCCATTATCGATCAGTTTGAATCAATAAGTACAATAATTTAATCCAAAGAAAGTGGGACTTTTAGAGTTTTTTAGACTAGTCTAGGCTTGAATAGAAGCTACACTCTTTAAAAAAGGCTAGTCATGACACGTGAGATTGATGATTCGGACTAGGCTTCACTGCTACTAAAGACATTTCAGGCTACTCAAAGTCGTGTGACATCTGCTGGTTCCTCATTGTCTAGTGGATGGGCGGAATTCAATCTGTGATTTCGATTGTATAAATTGACGCCAGTCTATCTTAATGTTATAGTCTACCATCAGGATGGCCGTCAGGTTTTGAATACTGTCGGATTGGATGTTCAAATCCACCTTTCATCTTCTTTTTTTAGTCTTCGAACTAGTCAGAACGAGGGTCACTGGATAAAACGCACTAGACATAACTGAATTCAAGAAGAGGAGTGTGGGTGTGAGTGTGTGAGTGTGGGTATGGATGTGGAAGCGGGTGTTGATCTTCTCTTTACCCACACCCATTCAGGAGCCATTGGTAGTTGCGACGATATGTCATTAATTCCATACAAGCATCAACTCTGTGTTGGAGCTGATGTGGTGACAAGTCATGTGGTATCCAAACTCCGTATTTCGACGTTTTGCCTAATTCGTGCAAATGTGTTTCCACTGTAATATGAAAGCACCCAAGTTGCTCTGCCAAACATCGTGCAATCAATCTAGGATCTTCTTCGATAAGCTGCTTCGAGACATCTATATCCACCTGTAGCGGTCTTCCGGTATGAGGTAAATCATTGAGTTCGAAGTTACTGCTCTTGAACCTATTGAACCAATGTTGCGCTGTACGGATGGATAGTACATCCTTGCCCATCGTGCTGCATATATTGCTTGTTGCTTCCGTTGCTTTGCGACCAAAAAGGAATTCATAAATCAAAAGCACTCAGAGCTCTCTATGGGATATCTTCATTTCTAATTCGAGTTCAACATCCATATCTATAGTTTTGTTGTTGCTCAAAAGATATTCGTACCTCCTTTATATACCCTTAGTATGGAAGCTTCTAGAATTTTCTCGACTGTTCTAGAAAAGTTTTAAAAAACGCAAAGAATTTCTTACCAATCTAATACATACATCATTTGATAGAGAAAGTATTACTCTACAAGCATATATGTATATTCGGTTCTGTAGTCAAATCCTTATAGCTGGCTTTAGAAAAGGTGCTCTGAATTAGATAGCTATCTGTGGAATTCATTGGTAACAACGTGTCAAATGCTTTTCAGAATGGTGCAAGGAAACCCAAATTAATCTAACAATAATTTCTTCTTTCAGTTAAACAATTCATCGATAGCATTTGAGGAACGTCGTTTTCAGGGTCAGGGATTTAATTAAATATGTTTCAGATCGACAGAAAGGTGCAATGTAATTATTTTTCACTTTTAGACTAGCCTTTAAGTCTCAAAGGTTTGTATTTAGTTGGAGATTTGCTCTAGTGCACTAACGACAGCCCAATGCAAGTCATCAAGATCCACGGACAATTGAGTATCATACCCTCCTTTCACCTTTACTAACCACTATTTGTGCTTACAATGAGTGGCTATTTCAAAGTACATCTCAGGTAATGTCCATCCACTCTCATATCCAATTTCGATGACGGATGATCCTGGTTTCATCCACATAACATTAATTAGACCAGCGCCATGCGGCGCTATCACGATTTTTGACTTCTGCCAGATTTTAATTTGGTCTATAATATGACTTTCACCCGTAAAAATTTGTATCCTAAGCAATGTCTTCGAAAACTTCTTTAATATTTGTTCGATCATGTTCACCATGGCATCATGATTTATCAGCGAGCGTGATTGATCTGATTTTCTCTTAACTATAAGTATGATATCTCGTTCTTCGTCGGATAGCTCATTGAGAATCAGTGATCGATGCACAATCTCCATATCGGTACGATCATGTAGATATTTTCCATAGAGATCACCAGACAAGTAAGGCCATGTTTCTGAGCGATAGACAATTTTGGCTTGATAGATTTTGTTGTTATCATATGGTATGATTCTGTCTCGTGTTACAATGCTACAATTGACAAGTATATCCACAAATTGGTCGGCTGTACCACCACTAGCCACGAGCAATTTCGAACTCTGAGGAGTAACTGCTAACAATCGTAGAATACGAGGTAATTGTTGAGGAGCAAAATGACCATGAGCAGACAGACCAACACCTACTGTATCGAGTAATTCATCGTAAAGTTCAACAATTTTTCCAGTATGATTGACGGTAATGGGTGAGTTGTGACATGGACTAGTGGACCATTTCTGAAAATGGAACGTAGCATATGGCGTGTACACCGTTCCTTCAGGCCCACACGATGAAGCCAAGCCGACAAATGCGTTAAATATGCCGACAGTCACCGAATGAGTGGTGGCGGGTATTCGACGTGCGAGCAGAGTTGAATCAAGAACGCACGACAGCCAGGGATTGAAGTTTGTTAAATTGAGCTCATGACAAGTCTGACTAAGATTCTTCGCAATCGGAAGAGGATGAGGCACAGTATTTGGTAGCTGAGGAAAATCGTCTACGATGAATCCTTCTTCTGGATGCGTGTAAATATATAATTTGACATCGTTAACGACCAGAGGCTTTTTAAATGCACTCAATGTAAATGCCAGCGGTATGACGTAATTCGATGCTTTAATTTTCAAATATCGGTTGTAATCACCGTTTCGATGTCATGTCCAGTCAAAATAATGGGAAATATTTGCTCTACAAATCCAAGTGCAATTTATATCACCAAGCACACCACAGTCAAACCCAGTGATTTCTGATATTGCAGGATCAGACCTTTGCTGACAAGAAAAAGCTTTGGTTTTTAATATTTTTCTAATTGATTCGCCGTATATTAGCGAAAGTACTATAGCAATAGCAATAAATAAACGTTTCTTCTGCTTCTGAGTTAATCTGACCAATTTCATGATCTTTCTAAGAACGAAATACTAAAAAGAACTCACACGTTCAAGACAGTAGCTGTCGTTGAAATTCCATTCTAATCAACACTATGCGGTGGTACACGGAAAAACGTAGGTTTATGTACCCTGTATTACTTAGGGTATACCAAAAGTAGTGTCGCCATTATCAAATTTCATTATAGAAAGGTTGAAAAAATTTTCTTTTTTTATGAAAAGATAGAACGTTTTTCGCTCTACTTTTCTATGCTATTTGATCACTATTCAACTAATATTATAATAATAAGATTTCGATAAAAACTGTTTTTTGTTGCAAACTAGCTGGTACCATTGGGATCATTATGGGTGGGCACTTTTGCATTTGACTTTATTGTCAGTTAATAGCTTGTATTCAAAAAAACAAAATATACAATAAGATGCAGCGTGAAAAGCTCTAAAATTTATAAAGGACCGTTTATTTTATAGTTGCACTTTTTATTTTCAAAATGGGCAAAACTCTACGCGACCAAACTTCGACGTTGGGAAAACGAGATGCCTTTATTGGTAAAAGATGAATTCGTTTTTTCTTATCTCATATTTTTATTACCTGATCTACTTTATTAAAAAAAACATAATACACTGCAAGATGCAACGTGAAAAGCTTTACAATTTACAAAGAACAGTTATAAAAAGATGCAATAGAAAAAAACGACTTCATCTTTTACTAAAAAGGCATCTCGTTTTCGCAACGTCGAAGTTTGGTCGCTTAGAGTTTTGTCCATTTTGAAAATAAAAAGTACAACAATCAAATAAACGGTCCTTTATAAATTGTAGAGCTTTTCACGCTGCATCTTATGGTATATTATTTTTTTTAATACAAGCTATTAACCGACAATAAAGTCAAATGCAAAGGTGCCTCATTTTTTATGTCACACCCATTATGATCTAAATGGTACTGTTAGCGTCAGTAGATGGCGTTAACTACCGCTAAGCTGTTTATTATGTATATTGTTCTATTGATTTTGTTTTGTTCTATTACGTCATTTGTCGGATGACCGGCTCACATGATTGATTTTCCTATATACGTATATATTGTTTTCTCTTGTTTAAAAAAGTCTCTCAACATCGTCATTCTTCCTATTGTTGTCTTTCTCCGAGAATATACTTCGTTATTACATCATCAACATCTCTTTTCACATATACATCAATAGCTTCATAACGATCAATGTATGTAAGCTAACGATATATATATATGTTATAGTGATAAGCTCTATCATATAGTCCCCATACAAATTGTAGAGCTAACATTTGGTGGAGAAGTTGAATTTTAAAATACAAATCGAAAAAGTTTTTTTTTCTTTTTTTTTTCTTTCGTATATAATATCATCATCTACAATTTTTTTTTTGGTTTCTTACTGCAACTCATTATATTTCTACATTAACTAAATACGTTCAGCCAATATTATTAGTTTATTATGCATAAATCTGCATCACTAGATTCGTTAAATTTACAGACAATTTCTACTACGTCAGTTCTAACATCCACAACAAATCCAGATGTTAAACCTAGTTCTTTTTCTAAACTAACTCGTCGTATGGCAATTATTCCTACACCGAATCGACCAGTTAGATTATTAACATCTGCTAAAATTCAATCTTGTATTAACGAAGATACGTCAATGATGAATATTAATATCGATACAGACAAGCATCTTGATTCAGGTGATAAAAATCATTTTTTACTTAGTAGTAAACAAAATTCATCAGAACTATTCGATATAGTTGACAATCGATCCAATCAAGTACGTCAGAACAAAGATGAAGAGGATGAAGATAATCTATTTGATACATTTATTTGTAGTAATTTTGTTCATTTTTCTGGAACACAAGCGATCGATCAATGGTTAGATAAAACAGAAGCTTTATTTAATCGATTCAGAATTTCACGTAGACTTCGATTTCAAGCTATACCTCTTCTTGTTCAGGGTGAAGCTAAACGTAAATATATAAGAAATTGTCGATCTATTACATCTTTTGACGATTTTTATGAATTTTTGTTAACAAATTTTGATATGATTCCTTCAGTATCTACTACCTCAAAACCTAGTTATGTTCATCATATACCTGAATCTGCGAAAAATACTATATCTGTCAATAAATCAATTACTGAACTTAAATCAAATGCTGCTAGTTCGACTGATTCTAGTCAAATATCACAGTCATGCGTTTCTCGTTCTAATAATATTGTTGGTGATGACACCACCAACGTAAATGGTGATGTGTCAGGTCTTAAATCAACTGCCAAAAATTCATCTAACGATACTTTACCATTAGATTCAGTTATACCTGATTTACGTAAAGTAATTGTATCAGATTTTATTAAAAATCCGAAAATTTTTCGAGGTGCTAAAGACGATGTGACGAAATGGGTAGACGGAATTGATCATCTGATGCAAATTGCACATGTGCCTGATTTTCATCGACTAGATTTGATTTCGTATTCTCTA